GTCACAAAACATCACAAGACGGCAATGTCATATAGCGAATTTGACACCCATGTTTTAAAGCATGTAAGCAATGTCAAAAATGTTTCTTAGGGTATGGACATTCAACAGTGGATTGCAGAAATTAAGATGGCCTTCTCATTGTCTTCTCTCAGATAGATAGGATACCCCAGCAAAAATCTATAAAGACAACATTAGTGAGGGTCAAAATATGCCCTAAGATTGGTTAATATATTACATCACTTCTAGCATAAATGGAGGTGGGTAATCAGATGGAATCTGGGAATTCCCATTCTCTGAGTCAATATTCTAGCATGCATTCCACATGTTAGATATATCAAATATAAAGAACCTGTAACAGGTATGAAATCCTTTTATTTTTGCTACCGGTTTGGAACTGGGAACGCGCGCATGTGCTAGCTCGCTATGCTTGCTTGTGGTGCTTCTGTCTGTGATGTCATCTGGGTGGGTGGGCGGAGCCTCCTGCTGCCACCACTACTGGTTTGCCCAAACCGAGGCAGAATACCACCTCTGACCTGTAGGTAAAAAAAAAAGATGGCAGCTTACACCATTCCTTCATATCTAATGCTAAAGTATATGATTATATGAAGTTCTCAGGGCCATTTTGTTTACAGGGGAAGGGAATCTGAATGCCGAAAACATCGGGACACGATCTGGTATTTGGCTGGCATGCTTACCTGTTATTCAACAAAAAATTGGATAAGAATTTTAAAAGNGGGAGGGAGGGAGGGGCATACAAAAAAAATGTAGTTCAATGTTTTAATGATTGACGAATGATGAAATATTTGTGTTTTTTAAAAGAAATAAAACTCTTTTCTAAAAAAAAAAAGAAAGTATATAAGCAATAATACCATCAGTAATATACAGAGAATGCAGAAATGGAAACGTTATGTATAACAAAGAAAAATGTATAATAAAATTTATATGTGTGTAAAAAGTGGCAAAAATGCATCCAGGTGTTTTCTGTTCTTCGCAATTTGTACACGTTTTGTAGTTCATGGAGTAACTATAGAGCAGGATAAATGAAGAAAAAAAAACAAAGTTGGAAGATTCAGACTCTAACACCTGGAAGACTTCATTTGATCCAAGAGGTCTTGAGAGTTCTTGCCCTTTGCTATGTTAAAACTTTATTCTCATAGTGGTGCTATAGATTCTCAACTATCCCCTTCCCACCAGATCAAAGCTGAACATGAAAGCTGACCTTGATGGATATAAACTTAATTGTTTGTATTAGTACAGTTTTTTAAAGATTAGAAATAGGGTTATTATATCATCTATTTATCTGTCCATCTACCTATCTCTCTACATACCTATCTAATTAGCTATCCATCCTGTTCTTAGTTTATATAAATGACTGGACTATTGATCAGAAATTTGGACAGCCAGTGTGGTAGAGTAGTTAAGCCGATGAAATAGGAATAGAGAATCTCAGCTCCTAGTCTTAGCTAAAAAGTTGACCTGGTAGGCTTGGGCCAGTCATCCCCTTAAGCCCCAAACCAGAAAGTTTAAAAAACAACTACCTACCAATCAGAACTTCAGCAATAGGCTACTTTATATGGTCCAATGAACAGAGTTTCATCCTGAAGAAGTAGAGGAAGAGCGTTTTTAATTGCAAAACTTTTTTTCTGGCCTCATAACAAGAGGGAATATTAATACTCTTCAAATGTACAAAATCCATCTGTGTCCTGCTTCCGATCAAATCAGCAGAACTGAGGGAGGTTTCTGTAGAGAGAAAAAATTGCTTTTTTTGTATTATATGGCAGTGTTTCTCAACCTTGGCAACTTGAAGATGTCCGGACTTCAACTCCGAGAATTCCCCAGCCAGCAAATGCTGGCTGGGGAATTCTGGGAGTTGAAGTCCAGACATCTTCAAGTTACCAAGGTTGAGAAACACTGTTATATGGCATTGGAGGAAAGGTCAAATACATGACCAAATGCAAATGCCATATTGTATCTGTGGTTGATTTCCTAAAAGTCTGTCTGGTTGGCCTCTTTGTAGAGTTTAGGAAGCTTCCTTTCCTTATTGCAATATAAACGAAAAGAAAATGATTTTCCCATGAATTAGTTCCATAGTTTCAGATGCCACAGTGAAGATTCTGCTTCGGAAACCTTCATGGGAGAATAACATTTACTTGTTTACAATGTGATTTGGTGGTTTTTATTCTTTGAGAGTAACGTGGGTAGCTTAAGAACTCACCATAGAGCCTTTCAGTAAAGACTACACCTGAATGTACCCTTGAATGATCCTTCCTTCCTTCCTTCCTTTATGAAACAGCATCTCTGCAAGCTTCTGTGATCATAAACGCCAACCGGGAGAATATTTATTCTATGCAGAAAATAGTGATGTGTTTGTAAAGAGGACATTAAGGCTCTATGTGAAGAGTGAGTATGTTTTAACAAACAAGATCAATCAATATTCAGTACCATGCTGCACCTATTAACAGGTTTAATTTTTACCCATCTTTTCCATTGAATCATGTATAATAGTCTTCTCCAACTTGTCTCCCTTAAATATGTGTTGAGACTAAGTAGGAAATGAACGAAGTGCAGTTCATAATGGAAACAATGTTAAAAATAATTCAAGTACCACATCAGTTAAATTGATCAAAACAGTAAGTTAAAACCGGGTACAGTGGACTCATATTCATGAAACATCTGCTTAAATTAACAAAAAAAAAATCTCTTTCTGCCAGCCAAAGTTATATAGGCAAATCGGTCTACTTGACCTCACTTATTCCTATGCATTTCTTTCATTTCTGTCTTATCTGTGTGTGACAGTCCACTTTTCCCGAATAAAGCCATTATTTCAAGTTAGTTTTGTACTTGAAATAGTTTAGCCACATCTAAATGATGTCTTTAATTAACTGAACATCTATACAGGGATGTAAATGTAGCATTCAAAGGACAGGGAAATTTCAGAGCCCTTCTTCTGGCAGAGAAGGATCATGGTTTGATGGTTAAACAGCCTGCTGCTAGGCAGGCATATGCAAGATTGAAAGCCTTTCCAAACTGGATGGGGAAAATCTTAAATCTGAGACCCTAGAGAGGCAGGCTAGACAAAGCAATGGCATGTTTATGTATTTGTGATTTATAAATTTAAAAAATCTATTCATCATGTATTGATGCCATGTAGTCTTTTTGTGCTTCAGGAGTGGGGATTGGTGTGGGGGTTGATAGTTAGCTAACTAGCTAGTTAGCTATCTGGCTAGCTAGGCTGGCTGGCTGGCTGGCTGGCTGGCTGGCTGGCTGGCTGGCTGGCTGGCTGGCTGGCTGGCTGGCTGGCTGGCTGG